CCCTCACTTTTTCTTTCTGTGTTACTAATGTGTTTTTTTTTTTTTTTTTGGTTATTCTTTCTCTTCTTATTATTCCCTTTCTATTATTCTTTCTTAATCACACCTTCCATCTTCACCTATCGTTATATATTTTTTACCCAATTTTTCACTTTTTATCTATCATTAGATATTTTCTATTTTCTGAGTATTAATTACAATAACATGTAATAAATTTATGCACGTCCAAAAAGTTATAAGCTTTTACCATTATAGGGTAAAGAGTCTATATTATTTCCCTTATTTTCCCTCTTTATATTAGTACCTTATTTGTTGTTATTCTTTTTCCAATTATCCTCTATCTCTATTAGTCTTTTATAATCATCTCCTTAAATCTTTATCTATCAAAATATATCTATTTATTTACACCATTTTTCCCTCTTGGCACTTTTTCACTTGCTTATATTTCACCTTTTATTAATTTTTATTTGGATTCCATCTTTTAGCTTATTCTCTCACATTTTATCATTATACTTATCTATCTACTCTATATTCATCCTCATTTCTTAATGAGTATATTAAAAGTTTGTAAGGACTTTTACTTCACCATTTTAATAATTTTTTGATAGTTTAGATTTTTAATAAAGAAAACATCAAAATATTTTTAGGTTCTTTGTAGAGGTTCTTTCTTTATTTTTAAGTTCCTTATAAGTGCTCTTACTTCTCGCTTATGCTCAAGTGGTTCATTTAGAAACCATTTTGTACCTTTCAAATTTTGGTTTTTCAAGTTGCTATAGTAATTCGGACAAAATCATTAATTGCTATACTAAACAACCTAATTTAAAACTTATAAAACCCTTAAGTGATCCAAAACACTAATAATATTGTTTACTTTAACTCACTATGCCTCATAATTTTAAAATGTCTCAATGTAGGTTATTGGGTATTGATTTATACCTAGAATCTTTTTTATACTTTATTGATGTGAGATTTACTTGATGATAATATAGTTGGTTTGGTTAGTAGTGATGACTATCCTTTGATCAAATTATAAAAATAAACTAAAATTAAAAAAGTTCCATATAAAGTTAATAACAACTAGACTATATTTAAATTTCTTTTTACATAGGTAAAGAATTATCAAATACATATATCTTAATAAAAAAGAAGGAATGCGTGTTCTCATTCATACTTTAGTTTATTAGAAATTTGTTAACATTAGAGACTAATTAATTATTCTTAACTTCTTTAAAAAATTTCTTAAATTTACGTTATTTTTATAGTACACTATTACTAAGACACCAGCGAGGCATAACCTTAATTGTATGCTAACATTTTTCTCCTCCATATATAATTATTTTATGAAATGCAAACTATATATGTTAAGAATTCTTTATTTTATTTTACAATTTAAACTGCATCAGATTATACAATATTTTATATATTAAACTCTCTACATTCTTAAAAAGAAAAAAAAGGAAAAAAGAAAAAAAAAAGAAAAAAGAAAAAACAAACCTAGTACCCAGCTCAGCGGGCTTGAAGAATCATGACCAAAACAACAAAGAAAACAAGGAGACCTCTGTAGTCCTTGTGCAAGCCAAGTAATTAATTTGGTGCGAAAATAACTGATATCAAATGAAGAGGAGAAAAAAATACACATGTAAGGAAATTAAACTACAAGAAATTAGTTAAAGACATTTGATCAACAAAACAACATATATACTGTAATAAATTGTTATAAATTTCTTAGTTTATCTTTGGCCATACCCTCTATTTGCATTTGTACATATTTTTTATGGTTAATACTCTTAAAATTTTTACTTTCGATCAACACATTTTATAATTGGAAACTCATTACGAACCCAAAATTAATGACTAGGTCACATGCAAGTTGAGATTTTTTATAGATTTCAAATTTTGAATGGTGTTGATTGAAAATGAAAATTCTAGAATATGTTGATTATAAAAAATAATAATGTTCATTGTTGGGGTTTGGCCTTCTCTTTAGATACATCAAACAAACGGGAGAGTGAAAATGGTAGAAAATGCATGTATCTACCTGGAAATTAAAAAAAGATTTTAAAGCTTGCAGAGAAGAAACAAGGTTTAGGAAGAAGAGAGACTTTAAAGATGGGGAAGATGCAATGTTAACAACAATGAAGAATGGTTCCGTCGCTAAAACTACTGATGATCCTTCGTGGCAACACCCAAAAGAATAGTTTCCCCTTCCTAGAAAATGCTTAGAAAAATGCAGCATGGTTTTCCTGGAAAATGCTTGTGAGTCTTTCTAGCTAGTAGCTACTCCCATAAACAAAAGAATGGTGTTTCTTGGAAAATGCCTACTTTAGAAAAAGCAGGGGAAAGATGTTCGTCCACAATAAAAAAAGGTTAAATGCTAAATTTAGTCCCTCAACTTTACAAAATGCACATTTTTGGTCTCTCATCAAATTTTTACACTTTTTTGATCCCTTAACTCTAAAAATTGCACAATTTTAATCATTCTGTCAATTAAGTGACACTTGACAATTAAATATTGGTTTAAGTATCATTTTGGTCTCTCGACTTTTCACTTTGGCACCAAAATTGTCCCTCGACTTTAAAAAGTACTAAAATTATCTTTAGATTTTCATTTTTGATACCAAAATGGTCCTTCCATCAATTAAATGACAGGTGGCACGTTAAAATGCCAGCAAATCAATTTTTTTTTGCTTAACTCTAATGGCATGGAAAAAAAATATATAGTTGGATATGTTTTATTATGAGGTGGCATTTTTTTACAGTGGCATTTTTTTACACGTCAGATTATCATCTTCTTAGTTTCTCCTTTTAATAGGGCCCACATAAAAAATTATTTTCTCTTTTTCCAGTTTCAATCAAATTCCCCAAAAATCACAGTTTTCTTCGTTTCTCCTTTCATTTCCTTTTCAAATTAAAAAGGTTAAATATCCTTTTTGGTCCCTCTACTATAGGAAAAAACCCTTTTTTGGTCCTTATACAGAAAAAATCCCTTTTTTGGTCCTTATTGTTCACAAATCCGGCCCCTTTTTGGCCCTTCCGTTAATTTTTGCTCATGTGGCACGTTAACTTAACGGAAACAGTTGATGTGGATATAATGATATCCTCCACATCACCCTCCACGTGCGAGAAAAAGAAAAAGAAAAGGTTAAATGCTAAATTTGATCCCTCAACTTTATAACTTTGCATTTTTTTGATCCTTAGATTATTCTTTTCGCTTTTTTTATCTTTTAACTCTAAAAATTACACAATTTTGATTCTTTCGTCAGTTAAACATGACGTGACAATTAAATAATTCCATTTGATATTTTTTTTTAATTTTTTTTATGACATGACAATTATATATATTATAATTATGTTATATAGATAAATAAAAATGTTACGTAGATAAATATTTATATTTTAATTTAAACATAAAACTACATTATTACCCTCAACTCTCAACCCCTCTTCGTCCCCTTCTTTCTTTCTCTTTCTTTCTTTCCTACCCAGATTGGCTGGGTTCGTCAAAACCCAGCCTTGCTGGTTGCTCGAACCCAACCTTGCTGCGTTCGTCAAAACTCAGTTACTGGTTTCATTAAAGCCACTGAGTTCATCAAGTCAGTAGATCTCATCAAATCAAATTAACCCTTCATAAACAATATCATTCAAACTCTAATCCAATTCCAAGAAAAATGCAATCAAATTGTAAATCAACTTTCAAATTTATCAAGAACCGAAAATGAAAATAGAAAGAAGAATGAAAAAACATGAACTCAGCGTTGAAACCCAGCAAGGCTTGGTTCACGTGACCAACATGGCTGGGTTGGTCGAAACCCAACCTTGCTAGTTTTGTCGAGCCTGGGTTGGTCAAACCTAGCCTTGCTGGTCGCGCGAACCCAGCAGCTGGGTTTCGACGAACCAAGCAAGGTTGGGTTCGCGCGACCAGCAGGGCCGGATTCGCGCAACCAAGACCAACAAGACTGGGTTCGTGCGACCAGGACTAGCAAGCGAGAACAACAAGGAGATCAGATTTCAGCAAGCGAGAAACATTGGATCGGATGAAATGATTGAGACGGACGGGATTGGATCTATCGGAGCGGATTTCATGTTCGTGTTTTGTGAAAGAGTTACGGAAAAGGAAGGTAATCAGCGACAGCTGGGAGATTTCGAAGGGTTTGGAGGAACTTCTGCGCATAAGTTTTGAAGTGAGATGCAGCATAGAAAGCAGTGCTCGACGAACCCAGCTACCCAACTCGTTGGAACCCAGTCGATCTGGATAGGAAAGAAAGAAAGAGAAAGAAAGAAGGGGAAGAAGAGGGATTAGGAGGTGAGGGTCATACTGCCATTTTATTTTTTAATTAAAATATAAATGTTTATCTACGTGATATTTTTATTTATCTATATAACATAATTATAATATATATAATTGTCATGTCATCAAAAAAATTAAAAGAAAATGTCAAATGGAATTATTTAATTGCCACGTCATGTTTAACTGATGAAAGAATCAAAATTGTGTAATTTTTAGAGTTAAAAGATCAAAAAAGTGAAAAGAATAATCTAAGGATCAAAAAAATGCAAACTTATAAAGTTGAGGGATCAAATTTAGCATTTAACCTTTTCTTTTTCTTTTTCCCGCACGTGGAGGGTGACGTGGAGGGTATCATTATATCCACATCAACTGTTTTCGTTAAGTTAACGTGTCACATGAGCAAAAATTAACGGAAGGACCAAAAAGGGGTCGGATTTGTGAACAGTAAGGACCAAAAAAGGGATTTTTTCGATATAGGAACCAAAAAATGGCTTTTTCCTATAGTATAGGGACCAAAAAGGGTATTTAACCAATTAAAAACCCAAAAAACCAATCAGATCATCCTTCTTATTCTTTCTCTCCAAAATCAAAATCAAAATCAAAGTCTCTCTTCTCCCTTCATCCTTTCTAGATCTGGGTTTTCAAAATCAGAGTCTCTCTTCTCCCTTCATCCTTTCCAGATCTGGGTTTTCTTAGGCTTGTTGAATCGGCCTTAGTTTGCTCGTTGCCGTCACAGCCGTTGCGATCGCCTCCACCATCACCCACGTTGCCGTCACAACCGTTGCAATCGCCTCCAACATCACCCACGTCGCCGGCACAACCGTTGCCATCGCCTCCATCATCACCCACGTTGCTGTCACAGCCGTTGCCATCGCCTCTGGTGCTTGTCTGTCCACCAAGGTCGACTTCTTGTGGCCCAAACTGGAGGAGCAACAAGGTCTGTGAATACACCATCGCAGGGAGGTATCGGAGATTTTGGGTGTTGTGTTGATTGGATTGTAATGGGAGGTATCAGAGATTTTGTGGTGGGTTTGCATGTGAAAGGAAAGATGGGATCTAACAGTGGTTTTTGATGCACATTCTCAGAGTTGCTAGTGCCATTTTGAAACTAAATTAGAATCCAGTTTGACTTAGAAATGTAATATTTCTTATTTTGGATGTAGGTTTGTTAGATCTATATAGTTCATGTAAATTTGTAATCCATGTCCGATTGATTTATACGATTTTGGGACATTTTTCTTTCTCTTTGATTTTACAGGAAATGGGTATTAAAGAATGGGATTTTGAGATTTTAGCTCAGGAGAGCTTTGCTTTGATTGTAGATGTGTTTTGAGAAAAACCCAGATCTGGGTCCTTCTACTACTACTGTCGTCGGCCTTCTTCTTCTTCTTTCAAACCCAGATCTGGGTTTGGGATTTGGGTTTGAAAGAAGAAGAAGAAGGCTGACAGCAATAATAGCAGAAAGTTTGGCTTGCTGTCGTTGACGGTGACGATCATCACTTGCTTCTCAGTCGTTTGAGAAAACCCAAAGCTTGGGTTTGCAGAGGTAAGAGAAAAGGAAAGGTAAAGGAGAGAGAATGAAAGGGGAAGAAGAAATCTGACGTGGGTGAAAAAAAAAAGAATTATTATTTTTAAATTAAATGAAAATGCCACCTCATAATAAAACATATCCAACTATATATTTTTTTTCCATGTCATTAGTTAAGCAAAAAAAAAAAAATTGATTTGCTGGCATTTTAACGTGCCACCTGTCATTTAACTAATGGAAAGACCATTTTGGTACCGAAAATGAAAGTTTGAGGATAATTTTGGTACTTTTTAAAGCTAAAGGACAATTTTAGTACCAAAATAAAAAGTTGAGGGACCAAAATGGTACTTAAACCTTAAATATTCCAAAATGGCACTTTTTAATGATGTGGTAATGACAACTCATACAATTAGCTTAGGTGGAGTATGCCAAGTCAAACTTAATTGTTTTTTTTAATTTTTTTCAATTCTTTAAATATTAAATTACTAAAATGCCCTTAATTTATTCTTCTTGCCATGGTTCTCCTCTGTGCTTTATCTATTCACCTTGCCACCGCCACCATTTCTAGTCATTTTTCCTCCCCTTCCTCCTCATCCCCTTCTTGGCCATGACTGGGTTCATGAGGAACCCACATCTCTTTTGGGTTCGTCGCGAACCTAGATCTCTTCTGAGTTCGTCGTGAACCCATTTCTTTATTACCATAAATTATGTAAAATTTTTTGAATATATTTATGTTAGAGTCCAGTTTGAAGCAGGACAATATCTCAGGTAAACATGATTTGTCATCTTGATGTTTGGAACTTCATATTTTCTTCACAAACCCCTAAACTGTGTCATGTGATTGGTCAAATTTTATTGTTTTCCAGGTTGTCTTCATTTACATTAGCTGAAGGAGTACAACAGTATGTAGCTCGAGAATTTGAGAGCTATGTTGCCCCTAGCACATTTCCTCTTACTGGCAAATTCATTTAGGTTTGTTTTCTTACTGCTTTTCAAACCTTCAAATTCACCACAATGTTCATTATTAATTTCTTGTTTCTGCAAGAAGATGTATGCTAACTCTCTCATTCATGGTGATTCACACATGCTTTTCGCAGAGGATAGAAATAAGGTAAAGTAGATTTATGGAGAAAACAATGGCATTTCTTCTGAAATTTTATGTTGCTTTTAATTGTGGAGTACTGAACAAAAGAGGATGAAGGAGGCAAACCCAAATCATTTGGGTTTGTGACGAACCCTTCAGAGTTCATAACAAACCCAGATCGTCTCTGGGTTCTTCACGAACCCAGATCGTCTCTGGGTTCTTCACGAACCCAGTCATGACGAAGAAAGGGATGAAGGGAGGGGAGGGGAGAAGAGAAACAATGACAACCAAAGGAAAAATGGCTGGAAACGATGGCGGTGGAAAGGAGAACAAAGAGAGCACAGAGGAGAACGATGGCAAGAAGAATAAATTAAGGGCATTTTAGTAATTTTATATTTAAAGAATTGAAAAAAATTAAGAAGAACAATTAAGTTTGACTTGGCATACTCCACCTAAGCTAATTGTATGAGCTGTCATTGCTACGTCATTAAAAAGTGTCATTCTAGAATATTTAATTGCCAGATGTCACTTAACTGACAGAAGGATTAAAATTATACAGTTTTTAGAGTTAAGGGATCAAAAAAGTATAAAATTTTGTTAAGTGACCAAAAAGTGTAATTCTATAAAATTGAGGGACTAAAATTAATATTTAACCTAAAAGAAACTCGAGCAACCTGAAAAATCAATAACAAATAAGCTGATTGATAGCCTCACATCCACATGGGAGAAAAAGGTTTTGTCGGTAAAGGCCGCTGAAAAAGATGACATTTTTTATCTGTGTGATGTCAGGAAAGGGTCTTAAAATCAACGAAAATCTTCCACCCCAAGCGCCTTGGTGAAGGGTGAAAACCATACCATGTTCCATCCCTCTTAATTTTTATTATCCGTCTTTCTAATCTGTACTGTTAATATATAGATTAATAATATCCTTTTTTAGTATTAATTGTTATTAAAAACTAAAAATAATATTTATTTAATTAATTACAATATTTAATTAAAATAATTTATGTAATATAAAGGATGAGGATTGTAATTCTTTCAATTTTTTAATAAAATTAATGTCAAGTTTTATTATTTTTAATATTAATTCATATAAAAAAAATTAGTTACACCCAAAATCCTTTTTTTATTCCCTTTACTTTGATTAATCGACAAAAAGTTTTTTAATATGTGCTTAAAAATAAAGATTAA